GTCTCTCTGGCAGGCAGCGCAGTGCTCAGGGCCCGGCAGAGCGGTGGTGCGACAGCAGCGAGGCGGCTTTGGGGAGCTGCTCCTGAGGATGCGGGGTGAATGGCAGCCCAGTCACTGCACTGGGCACTGGCTCAGGTTGCCCTGCCCCGTGCCTTGTCCTCTTCCTCCCATGGACCCGAAGAGTGTGAGGGGGGGGAAGTACCACTTCCTGGGCACTGATGTTTACTGGGCTGCAGCTCTGGTGTCCCAGTGCTGGAAAAAAAACTTTTGAAGGGAGGGGGATGAAACATTTCTTAGCTGAACTGGGCCTGCAAAGGGATTAAGGCCCAGCCTCAACCTCTACCTAATCTTGCAGGGGGATGGGGCTGAGCTCTGGGGTTTCTAGAAATGATGAGGCAACCTTTCCTGAGAAGCTGGGGAAGGTGCTCCCTGCCACAGCTATGCTATAGAGGAAGCCTGATGTAAGGGATAGGGAGAGAAACACACTTAGGGAGACACAGCGTGGGAAACCTGTACAAAAGGGTAGATGTGTACTGGAAGAGGGTAGGCTATTGATGCTCTTTTGGGAGAGATGAAAGGTCTCAGTCCTGGAGGACTGCAGCACCTGGATAGCTGAGGAATGGATGTCTAAAGCAGTGTCAGCCTCTGGGGAGGTGACATCTGCTGTCAGTCGTAGGTAGTGCAGTTCCTAAGCTGTTAAATCTCACTGCAACAGCAGCAAAAATACTTGACAGTGTTGCTTGTAATTGAGAAAACCCTCCAAATGAAAGACTAAAAGTCTAGTTTAGAGAGCTGACATTGCTTTATTCTGCGCAGGGTGCTCAGTGGTAATTCCACAAATCAAGCACACCTTCATACAAAACTACAACATATTTATCAGGTTACATGATTTGGCAGATTGCCTCTTTTCTCTCAACTCCCAGTTTCCTTTTTCCTTGGGATATTTCAAATCCTAGATAAATTACATTTTTCTGCATAATCTGTGCTTTCTTTTGTGACACTCTGTATCCTGCCAACCCCAGAAAGTTCAATAGATTAATAGTTGCCTCTTTACATTCTTCAGCCATGTCTGCCCCCAACAAGATATCATCTACATATTGTAACAAGGTAGTGGTAGGCTTCTTACCTTGCCATTGCTCCAGTTCTTTTGCCAATACATTACCAAAGACTGTAGGACTATTCTTGAATCCCTGAGGAAGCACTGTCCAGCATAACTGCATTTTGCGTCCTGTTGCAGGGCTCTCCCATTCAAAGGCAAACAGTTTCTGACTTTGTTCATCCAATGGAATGCAAACGAAAGCATCTTTTAAGTCCAACACTGTAAAATAAACATTTGAATCAACTATTGTTGTCAGCAGAGAGTAAGGATTAGGCAACACTGGGTGTACATCAATCACTATTTGTTTGATTAATAGCTCTTAGATCCTGTACTAACCAATATTCCGATGAATGTGGCTTTTTATCAGGCAAAATCGGGGTATTATATTCATATTGACACTCTCGCAACAGTCCATATTTTAGAATATTATTAGTTATAGGCTCCAGTCCAACCCGAGCTTCCAACTTCATAAAACATTGTTTTGGTCTTACCGGCTTCGCTCCCAGTTTCAGTTCCACTTTTACCGGTTCTGCCGATTTGGCTCTTCCAGGTTTCTCAGTTGCCCACACAAAGGGAATCACTGCATTCATGATTTCAGAGGGGGCTTCAATTTGTTCTTCCTTATTTTCAGCATTCTTCGTTTCTGACAATTCCTGTAACATATATACTTGTGCCTCCCAGGCATTATTTTGCGGAATATGCACTCGAACTTCATTCTGATCAAAAATGTTATCCGTGCTCCCAATTTATTTAATAAATCCCTTCTCATCAGAGGTAGGGGACATTCTGGCATATACAAAAATTCATGTGTGTTTTGTTTCCAATTTCACACTTAATCAGTTGAAAGAAAGGCCTAATTCCTCGTTTTCCCATGGCACCAATTACTGACATAGAGAATTTACTCATAGGTCCTTTACAACTATTTAATACAGAATATGTTGCTCCTGTGTCAACTAAAAATTTAACTGTCTCATTCCCTAGCTTAACTGAAACCAGGGGATCAGCTGGGGAGACCTTAATGTTTTCCCCTGGTCCCCTTCATTCATTGTCTGAATCCCCTAACATAATAAGGTTGGCATTGCTTACATGATCTTGCTCCTCTAGCCCCTTTTGGTTCGGGCATTCATTTTTCCAGTGTCCCTCCTGTTTACAGGCCGCACATTGGTTTGGCCCCAATAGGGTTAGGTTTTGTGAACCTCTTCCCTGCATCATTCCGCCTTGTCCCCCTCTTACTCTACTTCCACCCCTACCTTTTCTTCTAATATTATTCCCATTTATTGCTGCTGCCAGCAAAGATGCTTGCAACTTCATTCTATTCTGTTTCTCTTTTCTTTCTCTCTCATCCCGGTTATCAACATACCCCGGTCCCCATCAACTTTCTGTAACATTCTCCTTATATCCTGCACCTACTGCCCAATAAACAACATATTGACCATCCTCCGATTTGCTTCATCATCCAGATTCAAATCCATCCATTTTCTAGCAGTTTCACACAGCCTCTCATAGAAAGTAGAGGGGTCCTCATTTTCACTCTGTACCACCTGATAACTTTGCAAGATTTTTAGGTCTAGGTACCCCATGCTTTACCACATACAAAATTAACTGCTGATACTGCTTGACCATCAATCTGTCTGCACTAATATTCAGATCCCAATCTGGTTCATGTATTGGCATAAAACAATCCGGACCATCCCTGGTATTTAACTTCATATTGTCCTCCGGAGCTTTTTCTAACATCATTCTCTTCTCCTCAGGGAGAAATAAAGTATTAAGCAACACCTGCATACCTTTCCAATCCAGGTTATGATTTTCAACTATCATGTAGAAAGCCTGATATACTTTATCTGGATTATCCCAGTACGACTCGGCAGATTCTTTCCAATTCATCAAATCTGAGGTAGAAAACGGCACTTTTACATGTACCGGTATTCCGTCCGGTCCCACTGCCTCACACAGTGGGGCTTGTAGCATCGGATTTTGCTGGGCATGAGTCCTGTCTGTGATAGGGCTGTCCTGGTTTCAGCTGGGATAGAGTTAGTTTTCTTCCTAGTAGCTGGTATAGTGCTGTGTTTTGGATTTAGGATGAGAATAATGTTGATAACGCACTGATGTTTTAGTTGTTGCCGAGTAGAGTTTACACTAGTCAAGGACTTTTCAGCTTCTCGTGCTCTGCCCAGTGCACAAGAAGCTGGGAGGGAGCATAGCCAGGACAGCTGACCCAGACTGGCCAAAGGGCTATTCCATACCGTATGAGGTCATGCTCAGTATATAAGCTGGGGGAAGAAGAAGGAAGGGGGAACATTCGGTGTGATAGCGTTTGTCTTCCCAAGTAACCGTTACACGTGATGGAGCCCTGCTTTCCTGGGGATGGCTGAACACCTGCCTGCCAATGGGAAGTGGTGAATGAATTCCTTGTTTTGCTTTGCTTGTGCGTGCGGCTTTTGCTTTACCCATTAAACTGTGTTTATCTCAACCCATGAGTTTTCTCACTTTTACTCTTCTGATTCTCTCCCCCATCCCACCGGGGGGGAGTGAGCGAGCG